GGTCGTGCCTGGGGGCGCACGTGGACCCTGTGGCCGTGCAGCGCGGGGGGCTGGAGGGAGGAGAAACCTTTCCCTGGCACGCTCCGCGCAGTGGAAGCGCTTGGCTCGGGATGCTCCAACCTTGGCACCTCCCTTCCCAGCATCTCTAGCCCCTTGCTCTCCTCTGTCTCTGCAGTCCTGGAAGTGGGTTCTGGCCCCGGTCCTCCTCTACATCTTTGAGCGGATCCTTCGGGTCTGGCGCTCACAGCAGAAGGTGGTTGTTACCAAGGTAGGTGATACTGGAGCCTGTGCCTTCAGCCAGCTCCGTCCCTTGCGGCAACCAGCAGTGGAAGAGAGAAGACGCCTCTGCAGCTCTCTGCTGGGTGGCTGCAGGGAGGCAGGTGGGGGCTGCTGCAAAAGCTCCTCTCTCTGGCAGGGATGGAGCCAGGTCAAGTGCTGAGACCCAGGTCTTGCCCTCCCAGGTGGTCATGCACCCCTCCAGAGTGCTGGAGCTGCAGATGCAGAAGAAGGGCTTCCACATGGAGGTGGGGCAGTACATCTTCGTCAACTGCCCCGCTGTCTCCCTCCTGGAGTGGCACCCCTTCACCCTCACCTCGGCACCTGAAGAGGACTTCTTCTCCATTCACATCCGGGTGGCTGGGGACTGGACGGAGAGCGTCATTAACATCTTCCAACAGCAGAATCCGGAGATGCCCAGGTAGGCTGGGGAGCCCCCAAAAGGACCATCCTGAGGATTCAGGGAAGCTGTACCTTTTACCCAGACCGTGTTTTGGCCAGGATCGAAGTGGATGGCCCTTTCGGCACTGCCAGCGAAGATGTGTTCCAGTATGAGGTGGCCATGCTGGTGGGAGCGGGCATCGGGGTCACCCCCTTCGCCTCCATCCTGAAGTCCATCTGGTACAAGTTCCAGCAGGCTGACCAGGCCCTCAAGACCAAGAAGGTAACGGGTACCCCATGAGAGCAGCTGGCCCTATGGCCACCCCAGAGCTGCAGCAGCTGCAGCAGCCGCTGCCCCCAGGCCATGGATTTCTCCATGCTTGGAGGCGCTCAGCTTCCTGATCCTGGGCATCGCATCCTTCCACCACCCCTGTTCTGCTCTGCCTGGAGTAATGCCTTTTTCCTCCGTGCGATTGTATCCCAGATCTACTTCTATTGGCTCTGCCGGGACACGGGGGCCTTTGCTTGGTTCAACGACCTGCTTGCCTCGCTGGAACAGAAGATGGCCGAGTCTGGCAAGGCAGACTTTCTCACCTACCGGCTCTTCCTCACCGGCTGGGACACTAGCATCGTGAGTCAGCCACGGGTGGGCGCGAGAGCAAGGGAGGAGACACGGGAAGAACACATTAACAGCTCGCAGAGATATTAAGTCTGGGACTGGGCTTTCTCTCTCTCAGGCCGTCGGTGGGCAGCATCAACGGAAACTCCCTAAGGATGAGGGACTTTATTAGGGTGGGCTTGCTGGTGGTGAGCAGGGTCCTTACTCTCCCCGTCCTCTCCAGGCCAACAATGCAGCGCTCAACTTTGACATTGCTACAGACACGGTGACCGGCCTGAGGCACAAAACCATTTTTGGGCGGCCCATGTGGAACACCGAGTTTGCAGCGGTGGCCACTGCCCACCCAAGGTGAAAGCCGGGACGCGGAGGGGCAGGGTGCCAGAGCTGCAACATCCCCCTTCCTTCCCAAAGCTGTACATCTCCCTGGCCCTGTCTTCCAACCATCGTTACAGGGGTGGGCAAGCAGAGACTTCTGGCAGGGGATGTGCACCTTCCCTTCAGATTGTGGGTTTCACTCACTTTTTCCCTGAGCAGTAGACAAACCCCTCAGCAAATGCACCCCTCTGTGGTGCTCCTCCCGTGCTCCTCTGCTGGGAGGAGCCCCACAGCAGGGGAGCACGCCTCCTCCTCCTCCTCCCTAGAGCTAATAGCCCCTCACTGTTCACAGGTCGGTAGTCGGTGTGTTCCTGTGTGGGCCAGAGGCCTTGGCAAAGAGCTTGCAGAAGTCTTGTCACCAGCACTCCAGCCTGGACCCCAGGAAGGTCCAATTCTACTTCAACAAGGAAAACTTCTAAGCTGGATCCATGCTGTAACTATGGCTTGCAGAGGACAACCAGCTGGTCTTTGCATCCATCCCCTTTCGGACTGAGTCAGCCTGGCCAGGGCTAAGCACCAATGGAAGAGCACTTGCATCAAACCTAGGCAAGACGTAGCAAGGCACTACTTCTCCATGAGAAACCCTACGTTCAAAGACTGCTGCCTTCTTGACCCAGTGTACAGAGAGAGTCCTCGTGAGTGGAAGAGGCCCAGATCTCAGCACAGCCCTCTCTGAAGAGAACTGGGGCAAGCGTCGTGATGCTGCGTTACAGGAGCGGTGTGAAGGCCTGGATCAGCTATAACCAGCTAGAGCGCCCACAGGCTGGGCAGAACCGAGGGACAGTGGGATGGGACGGGAGCTGGACATGCTGAGCAGTCACCAGGGGACAAACATGCTCCTGTTTGTGTTTAAACAGTTCTTTCTGTAAAAGGGTAAATTAAACTTGCTGCCCTTTGCAATAAAAGCCAAATGTGGTCACCGAGTCTGTGAAGGTACAAAGGAAGGCTATTGTTTGCCCCCTTTATGGGGCCGCAACAGCCAGGCTAAGTTTGCCATAAACCAACCCTTGGCAGAGAAGTGTAACTTGTGGCTGGTTGCCTGCCAGCCCCCTCCCCGCACAGGAACTCACTGTCATCACAGTGAGCCAAGCCTGCACAGCCTGCCAGGCACGAACCAGGGCACAGAGCAATGAGGAACGACTTTAAACGTGGCTCATGCAAAGGCAACAAATTGTGCTCCAGCATATTCAGGGAAGAGGGGGAAAAACATGCTCCCAGAGCAGGCAGGTGCTGTAAGCGATACAGCAATCTGATACGGAGCCCTTCCCACCCCAGTCGACAGGGACAGAAAGATGAGCTCCCCATCCTGCCCCAGGCAAGGGCAAGGCCAGCCAGGCCAGGCTGCAGCAAGGTGCTCACCAGAGACCTCATGGCTCTGTCCTACAGCCCTCAACTCTGTGGCCTCACTAGGTGGGGGCACTGCTCCAGCATGTCCCAGGGAAGACAAGTGAGGCAAATAGGCATTTTATAAAGCACAGGTTGGTGCTCAGGACATGGCTACTCCTGAAGAGATACTTTCACTTACACCCCTCGATACCTCCTGCGGGCTGCCTCAGTGCTGCCATCTCCAGCTGGACACCCTCTCTGAGCAGTCTGCTCACCTAGTTCAGTGACAAGAGCCACCTTCCAGTAGGGAAATGCTGAAACACAGCATCCCTGTCGCAAGATATGTGAGCAGCTGCGCAGTATGGTCCCTGGGAAGGCAGATGTGTGACCACCCTGCATGGGCATTACAGGCCAGACAGGCTCTTCACCCCAGCACTGGATACTCTGGGCTGGTCCCCCATCAGTCTCCTGAGGTGACAATTTCAAGTCCCTGCAGGCTGTTGTGTGAGTACCTCCCACTACACACCACCCCTGTAGAGCCCACCACCCCCAGGGTGCTCTTTTATCACATTCATAACAAACAGCACAGTCTGTAAGACACGTGAGTAATTCTTGGCTTGATACTGGGGAAATCAGAGAAACCTGAGTGGTTCAGACTAGTCTGGAGCCAGGCCAGGCTGTTCCCAGCACCCAATAGTCCCGATTTTGCCTTCACAGTGGGGTCACACAACGCAAGAGACAGGGCTTTACTCAAACCCTCCTCCCACTTTATTTGAAACATCATAAAATATACAGAGGAAAAGGGGTGAATGAGAGAGCAAAACACTGGGTGAGGAGGAGAAACCTCTCCCTAAACGCAGCATCAGCTCCGACAGCGATGCCAAGCAGCTGCCACAGAACGTCGCCTCTGTCCAGGTGGACGGCGTCTTTGCCACATGCCTGCCAAGCCTGCAAGAACCAAGGGTGGCAGAGTGAGCGCTTGCACTGAGAGGAAAGGCAGGGCAGCCCCATACAGACCCTCCCTCCGATTCACTGAAGAGTAACACGCACAGGGTGAAGCGGCATTAAGGGCTGCCCCGTCCCCACTGTCATTACCTATCACGGCGCCCCTGTGGATTTCTGGATTTGCTCCTTTAGAATAAGGATACTTTGCCGTTGCTCCGGGGGCAGCATGGCGATCTGGTCTGCTGTCAGCTGCAGAACCTGCATTATCAGGGCTGCCTGTGGGGAGAATCAGAGACGCTGTCTGCCAGAGCAACCCCAGGTTACCAGAGCCAGCAAGGGGAGTGCTGGTGGGATCAATCCTCCTGTGCAGCAGGACCCGGGTGCTGCCCAAACTCTGGGCAGACCAGGCTGAAATAACCACCTGCTCCAAACACAGTAGGAACTGCACCTCCTGAGGCTGAGGGGCACCAGCACAAACTCCCTGAAGGCGGGCTGTCCTCTGCCACAGCAAGGAGTGTAAGGAACCTCCCCTTCTCTCCCCTCCCCTCACGTCTCAACCTTTCTCTTCTGTCCACTCACCTTCTCGTGATCCTGCGGGGTGACCTGGCTCTGCCCAGGGCTAAAGCCCCCAGGCTGACCAGCTCCTTGGACCCCTGCCCCAGGCATGCCTCCTCCTTGCATGCCTGCCCCTGCCATGTTAGGAACCTGTGGGCACAAAAGAGGGTATAAGGGGGTCTCTGGACTTGGCCGTACAAATACGCCTCCACCCAGCCCGAATCCACAAGACCATCAGCACCACATCAGGCAGGTGGAGGTGTTGTGCATACCTGGCGGGGCCCCTGGGGACCACTGGCTCCCATGTTAAGTGGTCCAGGACCCTGTATCCCACCAGGCATTGGGCCGCGTGGATTGGGACCAGGCCCTCGAGGCTCCAGGCCCCGGGGCTCCATGACCCTAGCCTCCATGGCCCTCGCTTCCAGCACTCGTGGCTCCAGGACCCGTGGCTCCATGCCCCTTGGCTCCAGGCCTCGTGGCTCCATCACCCGTGGCTCTAGCCCTCGTGGCTCCAGCCCTCGCTGATCTCTTCTGACTGCAGAGGAAAGACAAGGCAAGCTGTGGAAGGGAGCTGTGCTGTAGGAAGAGGAGGAGTGAGCCCGCTGCCTCCTTTGCCTGGGGGGCTAGCAAACGCCAGGAAGGTGCAGGGCTGGGGGCAAAGGGGACATGCCTAGAGGAACTCCTTTGCCTTGTCGGACTGTCCCTCCTTGCCCTGGAGTCATTTCACTGCCCAAACACCTTTCCAATGTCTTGCGTCGGGGCAGCGGGCTCCACTCTTAGACTTTTCGTCTTTCTGCTTTAAGCCACCCATTATTTCATGCCCCCGCTCTCACCTCGAGCATCCATCAAGGGCCCCCGCGGCTCTCCCATCAGTGGTCGGGGTTCTCCCATGGGTCCCCCCCTCATCTCATGGGGGGGGCCACGGCTGTCATGGCCAGGCATATGGTGCATAGGGGCTCCTTGGTGGGGCGGCCCAAGGTAACCTCTGACGCAGAGAGACGAGGAGAGCAAAGCAGGAGGAGAAAAAGCGAGAGAGTGTGAGTCAGACGCTGGCTTGGCATGGCCTGGGCAGAGTGCTGGAATCGCCCCCAAAGCTGGCCATGGGGAAGGAGGGCGAGGCTGGCACAGGGACAGGTGCTATCAGTCCCATGTCACAGGGCCGCAGTTATCGCCCTGAAGATGCCTAATTCCCAGGAAAATAGGCCAGTCCCTGAGGTTGGCAGCACACGGGCCTCCAACCTGGCAACAGTGACTCCCAGAAGGCTTGTGACATCCCTGCCCTCAGGGAGAAGCCACCCTTGGGCAAGGGCAGTGCCAAGGGCTCCTCTCCTTCCCTCTCCCCTCACCTGGGCTCCACTTCTCCAGTGACTGAAAGCAGGGTCCCTCCACGAGGGTCATTCGGGGCATCTCCCAAAAGGCCTCGGGGTGGCGGGCCACTAGCAGGTAGAGGTCCACGCTGCATAGGGGCCCTCGGGTCTGGCATGGGCACTGCCAGGGAGACACACAAGAGCTTGTGAGGATCAGCATGACCAGCGCTGTGCTGAGACTGCCCCCCAGCGCCCTCAGGGAGCTGGAGTGTGGGACGGCCTCACTGCTCCCCGGCACGCGGGCAGGTGGGCCGTGACGACTGCCGGGGAGCAGCCCCTTGGACAAGGCGAGAGCGCATCAAAGCCCCTTCCCTGTGTGCTAACTTCAGCCCTTTCCTTCCCTCTCTGATTCTACCTCAGGCTCCTTACAACAACAGGCGGCCAAACGGAGTTTGGGTACCCCTATGCCAACCCTTAAGAGCATGAGCCACAACACCTTGCCGATGCGGGGCCAGGAGCAGAAGCAAGACCTGGAAGGCTCCTGTTAGTGAGGTCTCAAAGGAGGTTGGACCCTAGGCAAAGAGCCTCTCTGGGAAGCCTCTCCTTCTCCACTGGTAACTCTCTGTGCGCAGCACTAGTCTGTTCTCTTGCTCCCAGAGGAAATCCTGCCTCCTCCTAACCCTGCCAGGCTACGCAGAGTGATGTGCCAGTCCCTGGCCCTGCGTGCAGTGGGGTAAAAGCTGCTCTCTGTGTGCACTCCACAACGAGCTCCACGAGGAAAGGGAGCTGGCAGGTGCAGGGATACCTTGAACGCGTTCGATAGACGCAGGCCTGGCAGGTCCCACGGGCGAGAGCTGCAGGTTCCCTGGGCAAGCAGCAGGAAAAGAGGGAGAAGAGCAGACACGTAAATAGTGTATGCACACACACACACTCAGTCTTGGGAACAGCGCTGCCCAGGCCCACTGGGCCCTGTACAATCAGCTCTGCTCCCTGGGGTCCCCCAGAACACCTATTCAAAAAGACACTGCCTGCTGCAGGCCTGGCTTTACCAGCCTCTTCCGCTAACGCCAGCTCTGACACCATGAGCAAGACAACCACCTTGGCAAGGCCTGCGCAGCTAGGCAAGGCCCTGGCCTTGCTCACTGTGCGCATGTGCAGGCCAGGAGACCGAACCCCGCGCAGGATGACCCACCAAAAGAACGGGCGTGTTGCGGGACAACACCGCGCACCGCAACGCGGTGAGTCAAGTCAGCTTCTGCCCCTGCCCACAGCTTCCACCGACACTCCCCAGCTCCAGTTTTCTGTCTGCTCTCCAGTATCTGGTGAGTACCAGCAACACTGCCAAGAACTGCAGGACTGCTCTCAGGGAGACAACGTCCTCCCAAAGAAAATGAGTCAGCTGCCCTTAAGATATGTAAGGTTGGAGGATCTCAAAACAGGTTTGCCATGTTCCTGACACAGGGCCTAAGACACAAGTCAAGGCAACAGAGATATTAGCTCCCTGCATGCCTTACTACTGGAAGAACAGGAAT